TTATTTTGATATATCACAGTGAAAGATTTATCGTCCTCTTTTTTTTTTTTTTTTTTTTTTTTTTTTTAAAAAAAAAAAAAAAAAAAAAAAAAAAAAAAAAAAGCTAAGATACAGACTATTTGTTATATCTTTTGGTACTGTAGAACATATAAATACTAAACATAAACAGAAAGAAAAACATCAACATCTCCCATAACGTATGAGAAAGGAGCACTATCCGTGTGTCTGCACTTGTGAGTCTCTGAGTATAGGAATTTACCAAAGAGGAGTCAGTAGCCCACACTCTTAAATGTCTTTCTTCACTGTATAGTAGTATACATCAACCATTTATCTGTCTTTGAATATCCATCTACAACTGTGGCTCTGCATAAGAATCTCTCAGGAAAAGTTTAAAATGTCTAGGTTCTACCTCCAGAGTCAAACTTAAGCAATTTAGGATCAAGGATGGGTTCTGTATATTTTAAAGATCTCCCCCAGGTAATTCCCTTGTGAAGCTGACCAGAACACTGCTAGGCCACAGCATCAGTTTTCAGTAAGGGCCTTGCATTCCACTGGCTAACAGGGAGACACTGTGATTTGCTTGATCCCCTTTTCTTGAACATTTAGGTTGTTCCCAGTTGTTCTTTTAAAGATTGATTTTATTTGTAATTATGTGTATGTGTATGTATGTCTGTGTGTAGATGTGCACGTGACTACAGGTGCCCATGGAGGCCTGAGGCATAAGATCCCCCTGGAGCTGGAGTTAACAGGAGGTTGTGAGCCACCCAACTAGGGTGCTGGGAACTGAACTTAGGTCTTCTACAAGAGCAGTATGTACTCTTAACCACTGAGCCATCTCTCCAAACCAGTTCCAGGTATTTCATTCTTTTTATATATTTTATTTATTATATTTATTTTATGTGTATTTTTCTATTGTCTGAATGTATGTAAGTGCATCCATATTGTGCAATGCCTGTGGAGGACAGAAGATGGTGTCGGATTCCCCTGGAACTGGAGTTACAGACAGTTGTTAGCTGCCATGTGGGTGCTGGGATTCAAACACCGGTCTTCTGCAAGAACAGCCAGTGTTCTTAACCACCGAACCATCTCTCTAGCCCAGTGTTCTTAACCATTGAACCATCTCTCTAGCCCAGGGTTTTATTACAAAACAGAAAGTAGCAATCTTTTTCTATAAAGAGCTAGGTGGTATACAGTTTAGCCTTTGCATGCCATAAGATATTTATTGCAACTGTTTCGCTCTGTCATTTGGTTCCAAAACAAACAAACAAAAACCAACCATCCAAACAGCCCCCCATCCCAAGAATCAAGTGCCTCTATGGTATTTTGGCATTTCTATAAGGATCACAACTTGACAGCTGTGATGGACAATCTTCAAGTCAACTTGGTTGGACTCAGCTCTGAGACACCTCTCTGGATATGTCTGTGAGGGCAGCTCTAGAGAGGATCAACTGCAGAGCAAATGCCCACACCAAATGTGAATGGCAGCACAATCCTACAGGATTAGATAAGAATAGAAAAAGGAAAAAGCCCGCTGAGTGCCAGCCTTCCCCTCTCTGCTTCCTGGTCCACCAAGATTTGAGAAGTCCCAGCTGCATGTTCCCACAGCCATGAACTCCACCATACCTTCCCCACTGTGGTGGATACTGCCCTGTCAAAACATAAATCCTTCCCACCATAAGTTGCTTCTTGTCAAACGTTTGTCCACAGCAACAAGAATAGTCGTTCAAACAACAGCCATTGCAATACAATAAATTCCTAGAAGTGGAATTGTTACCTAGCCTGGGTCTTTGAAAATCTTCTTTACGTGAGAGCAAGGACCCAGAAGTGATTGTCCTAAGAGGACCAGTCCCAGGGATGAACATTTTTCTTTTTTTAAAAAAATATTTTATTTATTATTTTTATTTTATGTGTATGAGCGTATTGCCCGCATGTATGTGAGCGCACCTGTGGCATGCAATGCTGCGGAGGTCAAAAGAAGGCTTCGGATTCCCCTGGAACTGGAGTTAAGGACAGTTCGTAGCCGCCATGTGGGTACTGGAACTTGAACCCGGGTCCTTTGCAAGAGCAATCAGTGCTCTTAACCACTGAGCCATCTCTCCAGCCCTGAGATTAACATTTTTAAAACTCCATTTGCTTTATCTTTGCAATTGTCCCATTGGGCAGAGCAAGTCCCATGGCCAGGTCCACCATCATTGTGGAAGGTGTGAATTCCTTGAGTTCATCACTGGTTATCTAAGAGTTCATCACAAGTCACATGCCCATCCCTGTGTGCATCATCCAGGTCAGGCAGAAGAGGTC